AACTATTGATCTGTTGGTTGCCTCCTGCATGCGCCTGACCAGGGTCTGGACTGGGGAGGAGCCTGCAACCAAGGTATGTGCCCTTGACCAGAATCAAACCTCAGACCCTTTGGTCCACAGGTGATCAGGAGCAGGGAGGAAGACAAAGGAGTAAAACAGTGGTTCTCAACCTCCCTTTAAATACAGTTCCTCATGTTGTGACCCAACCATAATATTATTTTCATTGCTACTTCATAACTGTAATGTTGCTAGTGTTATGAATCGTAATGTAAATATCTGATATGCAGGATGGTCTTAAGCGACCCCTGTGAAAGGGTCGTTTGACCGCCAAAGGGGTCGCGACCCACAGGTTGAGAACCGCTGGACTAGGGCTTGCCTGCTCTTTTAAAGGGTGATGGCTGCTGTTGCTAGAAGGGAGGAGTATTTTTGGGCTGAAATTGAGTAGACATCAGAGGGGTTGTCCTTGAAAAGTTTGTTTTAGTCAGGGCAGATATCCTAGGGAGGTGTGTTTATTAGTATTTGTACAAGTCTGTAAGACATCGTTAGAACAGAAGTTACAGAGTTTAAAAGATGGGCAGATTGGTTTTGCAAGGAAGGGAGGAGAGCCCTTCTATTAACTAGAAACATTCTGGCCCTTTCTATTAATTAGAAACTTTCCCCAGGGTCATTAGAACCCCAGGGGTGGGTACACAAGAATGTAGCCTTGAAAGTAGCTTATTTTGTCTTGTAGTTTGAACAGAGGGGCTGTTGGAGTCAGAGGAGCTAACAATCTTGTGGTTTAATTACCTGGTGTTTCTCATAAATTGTGGAAGGCTATATCAAAGAAAAAGAAAGGCTTTTTTTTTTCCTGTCCTTACAGCCATTATTTCTTTGGTTTTTGGTACTCCAATAAATAGACTTTCTGTAAAGAAAAAGAATGTTTCAGTAAAGAAAAAGAATGTTCTCTCAAATACATTAATTAGGTTCAACATTAATTTTCCTTTCCTCTAGGGCAGTGGTTCTCAACCTTCCTAATGCCTCGACCCTTTAATATAGTTCCTCATGTTGTGGTGACCCCCAACCATAAAATTATTTTCGTTGCTACTTCATAACTGTAATGTTGCTACTGTTATGAATCGTAATGTAAATATCTGATATGTAGGATGTATTTTCATTGTTACAAATTGAACATGATTAAAGCATAGTGATTAATCACAAAAACAATATGTAATTATATATGTGTTTTCTGATGGTCTTAGGCGACCCTTGTGAAAAGGTCGTTCGACCCCCAAAGGGGTTGCAACCCACAAGTTGAGAACCAATGCTCTAGGGCATCTGAGTTTCCTCTCCTGACTTTCCCTTTAGGCTGCTCTGCTCATTACATCATTGTAGGACAAGAAAAACCCAACTCCTTGAAATATATCCAATTTGGAGATTATGTAATGGTCTAAAATTAAAAGTGTGGGGTATATAAAACACTTTGAGGACCCAGAGTTATTCAGAGATAGGCTATCACCTCTAAAGTCAGCTGAAGTAGGTTTGTGAGGCCCAGTGACCCTGGTCGGAGCAAGCAGAGGCTTCAATAGGAGCTCCAAACAGAGAGGGCCGATACTTTGAGTTATAGGTGTGTGCCTACATCTGTGTGAATGCTCGCATGTGTGAGAGAGAGATGGAGAGAAAGAGAATAAAGGTTAATAATTTTCCCAAAAAACTTTAGGGAGGGCAGTTATTTTAGACATAATTCTTTGATCTATCAGTTTTTTTCTTTTGTTTGATTCCTGGTTTATAGTCATTTAAGATAATTGTTAATTATGTTTATTTTCCTCAGAATAGAAATAGTTTTCTCTATGATTAAAACATTTGAAAACAAAACAAACCCTGTAATTCTGTACCCTATTTTAACCATTGTGATAGCATTTTTATAACAGTTCTTTGTCATTTTTAAAATCTAGCTTAAGCATTCATAATCACATACAATTTTACATTGTATTTCGTTGTTTACATGGAAAATGCTAGTTATAATGCTTGGCACATAGTAGGCACTTAAATATTCACTAAAAATGAATTATTGACATTTTTATATAATCTTTGAACATCATTTAAAAAAATACATTTTTATTGATTTCAGAGAGAAAGGGAGAGGGAGAGAGAAAGATAGAAACATCAATGATGAGAGATAATCATTGGTCGGCTGTCTCCTGTATGCCCTCTATTAGAGATTGAGCCTGCAACCCGGGCATGTGCCCTGACCGACTGGGAATCGAACCATGACCTGGTTCATAGGTTGATGCTCAATTACTGAGCCACGCTGACTGGGCTTGAACATCATTTTTAATGGGCCATCTAGTGGCTATCTATACTATAGGTCATTTTCCATTACCCTACTGTTGGATATTAAGTTATTTCTAATTTTTTTCCGTTTTAAAAATACATTGCATATTTTGATGTAGATTGCTTTCCCAGATGCATATAGCCTTTTCTATGTGTAAGATTATTTTCTTAGGATAGAGTCCCAGAAATGATTATGTGCCAATTAACTATTAGTCAGGGACAGACTAATAATTATGCAAGGAACAGAATACAATTGAGAAACATTTTGTTAATTTTGCTGGGGAGTACAGGATAAATCTGGCTTCCACTGGGGCTGTATCAAGTTGCTCAGTTTACACATGCAGGGCTTTGTCTCTTTGCTTCCCTCTGGCTGACTCTTGCCACCTGGTGGTAAAAATGGGCATTGATAACTTTTTGTAGTTTATAATCCTGACAAAAATCTTAAGAAAGATTATTTGATTTGGATGATTTAACTATTGTCTTGTGTCTGACCCTCAACCAATGAATTGCAATGGCCAAAGATGTGAAGTACCTTTTTTTTTAATTTTAGAGAGAGAGGAAGGGACAGAGAGAAACATCAATTTGTTGTTCCACTTACTCATGCATTCATTGGTTGATTCTATGTGCCCTGACCCGGGATCGAACCTACAACCTTGGCAGACTGGGATGATGCTGTAACCAACTGAGCTACTCAGCTGGGGCATAAAGTGCCTTGATTGACTAAGCCTGGGTTAATGTGCCCACAATTGGGGGTTAGGTCAGCTCCAACCAAATTACATGGACTGACCAGATTACTTTACAATATAATAAAGATGTTTTCTCAGGAAAGGACCTTGGCAGACAGGAAAAGGATATCTGTTGTAAATGTTTTATTAAGTATCAGTAATTTAATAATTATTGCAGATTTTAATTATTTTAAAATTAATTTTATTAAATGCTTTATCACTCTTGATAGTCATTGGTAAGTGATTTCTTAAAATTCATACTAATCCTAGCAATATTTATTATTTTAATATACTCTAATCAACTTTGGGTACTGTTACTTTCTAAATATTTTGCTAATTTAATAGATTAAAAATTGTACTTTATATGTCCTTTTTTCACTTAACATCTATGGTAATTATCTTTTACTAGAGGCCCAGTGCATGAAATTCATGCAGGGGGGTCCCTCAGCCCGGCCTGCATCCTCTCCAATCCAGGACCCCTTGGGGGATATCCGACTGTCTTCCCCTGCTGGTCTGATTGCCCACAACTACCCTCTCCTGCCAGCCTGCTCTCACCCCTAACTGCTTGCTCCCCTGCTGGCCTGATTGTCCCTAACCACCTCTACCTTGCCCCGCACCTGGGACCCAGGATTCCCTCCTTTGGCCAGCTGCAGGCACCCAGGACCCTGGCTGGCTTCGCCTGGGTCGGCCACAGCCACAGGGGACCAGGGGTGGGCAGCTTTGCCTGGGCCACAGCAGCAGGCACCCGGGACAAGAGGGCGGGAAGCTTGTCCCTCTCCCAGGCTGGAGGCGCAGGTGCAGCCACTGGAGCCCGGGACTGTGGGGCGGGCGGCTTATCCCTCTCCTGGGCCGCAGGCGCAGCCACTGGCACCCAGGACCGCCAGGCAGGCGGCTTGTCCCTCTCCCAGGCCGCAACCTGGCTGGTCCCCATTCCTCTCTCGCAAGCTCATTTGTGCCTGGCTGGTCCCCATTCCTCTCTCCCCAGTGTTGAGTGTCTGAATGGTTAAGGCATGATGGCATGAGGACGTGATGACCATTTCATATTAGTTCTTTATTATACAGGATAACTGTAATTTAAATAGCTGCTTACTCTTGCTTTTGATAGATTTACCATTACCAAGCTATTTTTCAATTCTTGAACATTTAGGTTATTTTTTAAAATATATTTTATTGATTTTTTACAGAGAGGAAGGGAGAGGGATAGAGAGTTAGAAACATCGATGAGAGAGAAACATCGATCAGCTGCCTCCTGCACAACCCCAACTGGGGATGTGCCTGCAACCAAGGTACATGCCCTTGACCAGAATCGAACCTGGGACCCTTCAGTCTGCAGGCTGACGCTCTATCCACCGAGCCAAACTGGTCAGGGTGACATTTGGGTTATTTAAAAATTTTTATTTTTAACGTTTGTAGGTAATAATACTGCAAGTATTTTTTTTTTCCTGCAAGTATTTTTACATGCCCATAGATGACGCTCTATCCACTGAGCCAAACTGGTCAGGGCGACATTTGGGTTATTTAAAAATTTTTATTTTTAACCTTTGTAGGTAATAATACTGCAAGTATTTTTTTTTTCCCTGCAAGTATTTTTATATGCCCATAGATTTTGCCTCTATGAGGTTTTTCTTTTGGAAAAATTTCAGTGATATTTTTGCATCAAAGGTATAAACATCTTTATGCCCTTTGCTTTAAAGAATTTTACCAACTTGGTATTTTTATTGTATAGTTATTGCATCATATTTTACCAACATTGAATACTATTTTAAAGAATATTTGTTAGTTGATTAGATATAAAAAGTGATCTCAAATAGTTTTAATTTGCAATTTTAAATTAATGACTTTTTTTTAGTGAATTCCCAACTTCCATCTTCTTGTTACCTTGTTATTTAGAGTATAAACACCAGACATAGAGCATCACATCAGACATACCTTGTGCTTTATTTTATTTCTTTTTCTTGTGCCCAGGTCTGGTCCATCGAACTCACATGTCATCCTGTCGTGTGGATAAGCCTTCTGAGATAGTAGATGTTGGAGACAAAGTATGGGTGAAGCTTATTGGCCGAGAGGTAAAGTTCTGTGTTAATTTCATCTGGTTAGAAAGGATTAGGAAAAGCCAGGGTTTTCTTGGTATTTTATGATGGTGAGTGTGTATATGCTGTTAATTGTGGCTGAGAATCTTATTTTGAATCCTGCCCCATAATATGTCCTGAATATAAACCTTCTGGCTGGTTCTCCTCTCAAACTGAGAAGGAATGGTGTGAACTACTATAAGTGTAGCACAAAAAGACATAGAGTTTACAGTCACTTTTCCTAATACCTGGCACCATGCGACATGAGGAAAGTGAGAAAGCTCTGAAGAACCCTGTTACAGCTCACTTTAGGGTAAGTGGGCTGTGGGTCATTCATTCATACATAATTTTATAATTTTTATTTGTAACCATTGTAGGTAATAATACTGCAAGTATTTTTATATGCCCATAGGTTTATGGGAAGACCACAGGAGAAATATGAACATGTACTGAGGCCTGCTCTGCTACCAGGGGAGACAGCCTGAAAGAGATACTGTTCAATAGTATTTGAGTGCTTAATGTGCATTAGGTCTGAGGGATATAAGAGTGAACTAGACATAGATGACCCCAGCTATTATAGAGCTTATATAGAATATAACTGGAGGAGAGAAAGAAAAAGTAAACAAATCAAAATAATTAAAAATTATGGTAAGTGCTATAATGGGTTCAAACAGTATCAGAAGTAGGTTTAGATAAAGTCATCAGGAATGGGCTTTCTGAGGAGATGGAGTGTGAGCTGGGAAGGAAGTAGTCATGAAAAGTTGGGATAAGGATATTCTAGGTAGAGAATAGCTGGTCAAAGACCTTGAAGTGAAGAAGGGCTTCAGATGCTGGAGGAAGCAAAAGAAGACTAATGTGGTTAACAATTGTCATCATGTTTGTAGAGGTTCTAGACCAAGTCCAAAAGGAGATCTAGCCTATGGGAATGTTCTGAAACTCATTCTGGGCTCATGGATCTCTGCATTGATCATTATGCTGAATTTACCTGAAGAAACAGCTTTTCTTTTCTGCTGGGTTACTTCGACAGACCTTGGATTTGGGGACAACCATTTTTGTCTTTCCCCCCAAGAGGGGCAAAAAGAGATGAAAACCATTTCCTAAAGTCCTATCACAGAGCCTGCCTATTATGCTTGTTAGCACCACCGGTGCTCTTAGTACAGGACCTTGGCTATTAGAGGAGTACTGTTTGTTATGATGACAAAAATTTCTATTCTTAGATAATTCTAGATCAGTGGTCTAAATGATGTACTTTGAGCTTTTGATGACTTTGTTTTACATCTTTTTCAGATGAAAAATGATAGGATAAAAGTATCTCTCTCCATGAAAGTTGTCAACCAAGGGACTGGGAAGGACCTTGACCCCAACAACGTTATCATTGAGTAGGTAAAAGGTTTGGAAAGGCTAACATTCTTCTACCTCTCAAATCATGGAGTGCTGTAGTGAATCAGGCTGACGGGAAACCCTGCCATTTATAGGCTGTGTATTGATGAGCTCTATAACCTCTGTGTCCTTGGTTTTTAGAGGAATAGTGTTATATAAAACACTTGTAACATGCGAAGTTCCCAGCACAGAAGTGCTCCGTTCTGGGTTTTGTTTCTTTTCCCTTACTCTTTTTCTGCTTCTGCCCTTTAGCCACTCAGCAAGCAAGTATTCATGAAGTACCTGTTATTTGCCACTCTCCTAGCACTGGGACTGAAAAAGGATACCAAATGGGAGGGGAGGGTAATCTAGAAGCAACTCCAATAGGGTTTAGATGCCTGTGTCTTGGGATGCACTGTATTCTGAACACTACATCTTACTTTCATTGGCTCTTCTTCTTTTTTTTTTTTTTAATTTTATTGATTTCAGAGAGGAAGGGAGAGGGAAAGAGAGATAGAAACATTAATGATGAGAGAGAATCATTGATCAGCTGCCTCTTGCATGCCCCCCCACTGGGGATCGAGCCCACAACCCGGGCATGTGCCCTTGACCAGAATTGAACCCAGGACCCTTTAGTCCACAGGCCAATGCTCTATACATTGAGCCAAATCAGCTAGGGCTCATTGGCTCTTCTGACCTTTAATTTGGCAGTGGAAGATTTTCTATTTATGTAGGATAATGTCTGTTGATACAGGGAATTTACCATCTGTATTTCTTGACTATGTGCCAGTGATTTCTAACCAGGGGCTCCTAGGTCCTTTTTTGTTATTGTTCTTTTTTATTTTCTACTAGAGGCCCGGTGCACAAAATTCATGCAGGGGGAGTGGTGTCCCCTCAGCCCAGCCTGCACCCTCTCCAATCCGGGACCCCTCGGGGGATGCCGGACTGCCAGTTTAGGCCCGATCCCTGGGGGATCGGGCCTAAACTGGCAGTCAGACATCCCTCTCACAATCCTGGACTGCTGGCTCCTAATCACTCACCTGCCTGCCTGCCAGGTCACCCCTAACTGCCTCTGTGTGCCAGCCTGGTTGTCCCTAACTGCCCCCTCGCTGCCGGCCAGGTTGCCCCCAGCTGCCTCCGCCCTGCTGGCCTGGTCACTTCTAACTGCTCCTCCCCTCCAGCCTGATCACCCCTTACTGCCCGCTGGCCTGGTCGCCCCATGCAGCCTGCTTGTTCAGTCATTTGGTCGTCCCTCACTAACCCTCCTGCTGGCCTGGTCGTATGCAGCCATCTGGTGAGGGTGTGATGGTCAATTTACATATTGCCTCTTTATTGTATAGGGTTTCCCCCCCTAGATCCTTAAAACCTCTTCAAAAGGAGTCTTGGGGATTTATGAACTGTTTCCAGTGTTTCAGAAAGCCAGCCAAAATCATACATTTATCCTCATGTTAACCATGACATTATGTTGTTGCTTTTGATGATAAAGTATCATATTTACCTCATACTAATCAGGTGCTCTCAGTGATAGTTATGATATCAATTTTTAGAAAACAGCCCTGATGGGTTTGGCTCAGTGGATAGAGTGTTGGCCTGAGGACTGAAAGGTCCCAGGTTCGATTCCAGTCAAGGGCATGTATCTTGGTTGCAGGCACATCCCCAGTGGGGGGGTGTGCATGAGGCAGCTGATCGATGTTTCTCTCATCAATGTTTTTAACTCTCTATCCCTCTCCCTTTCTCTCTGTAAAAAGTCAATAAAATATATTTAATAAACAAAAAAAAAAGGAAAAGAAAACAAGAAAAAAAAAAGTTGCATGAGTGATATCTTGGTGGTGAAAAGTTTGGAAACCCTACGTTTATTGTACTCAGTGAAAACACCTTGGATATGAAGGTATTTTACCTAAAAGGGAGGGAAGTGGTATTTATTGAATACATACTATATGCCAGGTATTGTGCAAGGCAGTTTATGTATATTAGTGCATCTGATTCTCATAACAACCTGCAAAGTAGATATTTTCTCCATTTTACTTTATCTCTCTAGTCTCTAACTTGATGCTTGGTAATAACTTGCTTAGGGTTTTATAGCAAATCATAGTGGGTTAGGATTTTTAATCTCAGTCTCCCTGACATTAAGGCTAAGCCCCTTTATACTACATGATGCTTCTAGCAGTTGCATGCAACTTACAAGAGTTTTTCATATATCTCTAAATATTGACATGTTTGTAGGGCTGATTATTGACAAAATACTTTCCATTTATGGTAGGAATCTTTTATAACTCTGCTCAGAAATGTTATCTAATTCTGGCATTTATCAAAATTGCATTATAATAAATTGCTTCTGTTCCAAATAATTTTATGCTATGTAGCCTCATTAAAAAGCAGTGAAATTTCCCAAAGCCACCCTTGTAAGGGTAAAATATGAAAATAAGTAAGATAAAAGAGCTACCTCTCTTTATCAAAACAAGAGTAGAGAAGGGAAAGGGCTCCCTGGGTTTATGCTGGATGTGTTTCCATGTATAGACTGTTTCTAGTAATAACCAAGTGGAAACAGTACTTTGTTGTAAACTGTTTGTATAGCTGCATCCAGGAAAGAAGCATGGCTTGGTGAAATGATGACAGGTTTTAGAGTTAGACTTGAATCAGAAAGAGTTCTAGTTCTGCCCCAAAGTAGTATGACTTTGAGCAGATTACCTAGCCTCCCTGGACCATAACTTCTTCACTATAAAATGACACCTACCTCTCAGAAATGATAGAATGATTTAAATAAAATCTTGTTTGTAAAGAGCCTAGCTTATTGTCTGGTCTATCATAGAAACTTAATTTATAATAGCTAATTGTGGTTACTGTTTTAAAATGTCTCTTTGTTTTTCTTCTAATATCTGAAATTATCATATCTTTTCTTTTGAAAGAATCGATAAGACCCATGAGAAAATGGGCTACATCATAACCTTATCTCCTATAGTACCTGATGTATAGCAGTCAGTTAGGTAGTACATCCACTTCTTCCTTTATTCAACAAGTGTTTGTTGGGGTCATATTCTGTTTGAGGTACAATGGCAATACCAAGATTTCTGCCCAAGGACCTAACTGCCTAGTGTAATGAAATAATTATGCAAATAACTTTAATATAAGGCAACATGTAATAAGTGCTAAAAGAGTGGTTGAAAGAAAGGATTCTAGTCCTGGCCCAGTGTCGCTCAGTAGGTTGGAGCATCTTCCTGTACACCGAAAGGTCAGGGGTTTGATTCCCAGTCAGGGCACATATCTACGTTGTGAGTTCAGTCCCTGTTTGGGGCATGGAAGGCAACCAATGTTTCTCTTTCCCTCTCCCTCACTCCCTTCCCTCTCTCTAAAATATCAATGAGCATGTCCTCGGGTGAAGATTAAAAATAAATAAATAAAGTATTCTAGGAATTAGCTTGAAGAGAAAGAGTTGATTTAAGGCCCTGGTGATCAGAGCAGAAGTGGCATTTGAGCTAGGTCTTGAGGAATGGATAAGATTTTGTCAGGCAGCAGGAGAAGGAATGGCATTCAAGGCAGTAGAAATGGTTTGAGGGGCCTGGCCATTGTGGTTCAGTGGTTGAGCATCAACCCATGAATCAAGAGGTGTCCATCTGGAGAAAGTAAAGTAGTCTGTTTTGGCTAGAGCAGTGGTTCTCAACCTTCTGGCCCTTTAAATACAGTTCCTCGTGTTGTGACCCAACCATAAAATGATTTTCGTTGCTACTTCATAACTGTAATGTTGCTACTGTTATGAATCATAATGTAAATATCTGATGTGCAGGATGGTCTTAGGCGACCCCTGTGAAAGGGTCGTTCGATCGCCAAAGGGGTCGCGACCCACAGGTTGAGAACCGCTGGGCTAGAGCATATTGTACAAGTAAAGATGAAGCTGGAAAAGTAGGCTTGACGGTAAAAGGACTTGAATGCCAAAGTAAGGAATTTGGACTTGATTTTCCAGGAAGTCTTTGAAGGTCTTTTAAATCCAGGAGTGACCTTGTAAGGGTTGTAGGGGACTTAGCAAGGTGCATAATTATCTCTTTATCCTCTGTGCATCAATGAGATGAAGTGTAGTTTTATTCATAATTATTAATTCAGACCCTTGTCCTGAATGAAAAAAAATGTTCTATTTCACGCCATTGCTTTTATTGCCCATCTCCTTATGCCCAACACTTTTCCTTCTTTCTCCCTTCTACCTGCCAAAGCAAAAGAAAAAAACAACATACAGCATTACCTTGTAGTATCTCTGGCCACATCTCTTAATCAGGCCAACAGTCACAGTATCCTTTTCATTACAGGCAAGAAGAGAGGCGGAGGCGGTCCTTCCAGGATTACACGGGGCAGAAAATCACCCTTGAGGCTGTCCTGAACACTACCTGCAAGAAGTGTGGCTGTAAAGGTAAGGTGAAGCCTCTGCCATTTCAGTTTGTCTCTCCTTGTGGGCGGACCCTGTACTGGATGAGCAGCCTGGTGAGTTTAATTCACCCTGTTTTTAAGCCAGGTGATGGCTTGACCTGTTCATGCTGTTATTCCTACTAACTTACATCAGAGTTCATGGCTTGCTACTTTTTCTGTTTCCTTTTCTGAATGCTAGCCCTGCTGCTGGCTCTGGTGGTGACACTGTTAAACTGTCACCACCTCTTCTCACCTCTCTGCAGCTAATGCCCTACCTGGGCAAGGCCCCAGGTACTCTGCCAGGAAGTTAAGAGTGTTGGATTATGATTAACTCTCTAAATTTTATCTCCAAAGGATCATTATTGTTCTGCTGCAAGAATTAAGAAACTTAGAAATATATTCCTTAAGGAATCAAGTTAAAACCTTTCTTGCTCATCTCTTTAACTTCAGAGTTCTGAATGCAGTATCCTCTTAGTAATAAAGAACACACTCTAGTCATTTTCTTTTAGCTCTGCTTCCTCAGGTTTCCTCTAGTCTTACTCAAATATTAAAGAGCTCTTTCAGCCTGACTTCCTTGTTGGAGCTGTAATGAGAGGGGTTGCCAACTTCTCATTTCAGAGTGGCCTCAATTTGTTACCACTTCTCCCGAGCCTTCCATCTACCTAGCCTTGTTGATTTTTCTACAGCGACTGGTAACATATTTTTGCCCTGGTTGAGGTTGTGGGGTTTAAGCCCCTATTTATCATTAATGTAGAGGGAAGAAGGAAAAGTAAAATGGAGAGAAAGAATACCTCCTTGGGGGAATTGTGGGAGCATTCCAAATATTTGGAAAACTAGGCTGTATTCTTCTTCCAGGCACCATCCAGCTTCTGGATTCAGAGTTACAAAGTCGTTTACATGTTGCTTTTGATGGTTTTATCCAATTCTGTGTGCCCCTGAGATAGGGTCTACAGTAAGCACAGGCAAAACCAGCTCTATAGCCTCTGTTAAAGGGGCCCTTGTTAGCACTGTAGGCTCAGGGAAGGTGGGGTCTTCTTACCTTCAACTTGTGTCCACCAAGTATAACATGAGGCAGAGAAGAATAATGAGAGATGGAATTTGGCCCAGTCAGCAAAGGCTGGGCCAAAGGTGGTTGGTTTTGGTGCAGCAGAAAGAGTACAGGGCAGGGGGGCACAAGACCCTAGATAAGTTTTACTTCTGCTGCTCTCTGTGTGACCTTACACTACTTCTCTACTCTGGGCCTTCATATCCTCTGCAAATGCAATGTTGTATTTGATTATCTCTAAGGCCCTTGCCAGACCTGACAGTCTGTGCATGTCAAGTGCCCTAGGTGACCATGCCTGTCTCTCTGTGTGTTAGCTTGGATGCTGCCTTCCTGCCAGCTGCCAGAGAGCTATCTTTCTTCAGGACCTTGATCTGCCACTTGGCTCACTCTGCTAAACATTCTGTTCTCTGGAACAACCTTTTGTTGTCAGGAATAAGTTCCAAATAGATCTTTAAAAATTACTAAGCTTCATTGCTAATAGAGGGCAGTACCAGCCTGCATGCTCATCTGTATCTTCTGCCATTTCCAAAGCAGTGCCAGTGTTTCCCACAGCTTTAGGACCAGCTGCAAGGCTGGCTCTGGTTGGGTGAGCAATGCCATCTTGAGGTGACAGAAAATCTGTTCTGAATCCAATAGCTGTTCTGAATGAACTCGGTAATACCTCCTGAACCAGCTAGCCCTTCCAGGAGCCTCTGGGGAAGATCCACCTGCTGAGAGGAACGACTGCTTTCTCCTCCCAACTTTTCTACTTCTCTTCTGCAGGCCACTTTGCAAAGGATTGTTTCATGCAACCAGGTGGGACCAAATACTCTCTGATACCTGATGAGGATGAGGAGAAGGTAGAGGCAAAGGCAGCAGATTTTGATAAGCCTGACCCTACGAAGAATTCTAGGAAAAGAAAGAAGGTGAGTGCTATCTTGCTTTATTTATCATATAAATAGATATGTTTTAGAATGTAAATGTACTTTGCACAGAAATGTAAAAAATGCTGAAAAACATAAAGAATATTAGGATCTCCTGTAATCTTTCTACCCAGGGAAACTCTTATAGTATTTTTGGTATGTTCTAATGTTTTTTATAGGTAATAATTAATATATACACACACTCTTATACATATATACACAAAATTATGGTCATCCTAGGCATAACTTATATCCTACTTATTTTATTATACTTACTAAAAGCATTTTCTGGTGTCCTTATTTGTTCTTCAAAAACTTGATTTAAGAGCCGCTGTGTGATATATATATATTTTTTTTTGGTGTCAGGAGTGGAATGATGTTTTATTTAATAACTAGAGGCCCGATGCATGAAATTTGTGCAAGGGTAGGCCCTCGCAGCTGCCCTGGCTGCTGCCTTGGCCCTCACAGCCCCGGCTTCGTTTGGAAGGTTGTCCGGATGGTTGTTCTGCTGTTCAGTCTAATTAGCATATTAGCTCTTTATTATATAGGATTTTTCTATTGTTGGATATTTTTTATTATTTCCAACCTAAATTTGCCACATATCTTATTGTTTTCTTTGGTTACATTCTTAAAAAGATTACTGAATTAGGGCTTTAAGGCTCTAGATATATTTTGTCAAACTGTTATTCCAGAAAGTGGTGGATGAGAGTGTCTGTATCAGTGAGTTCTGTCTCTTACCTACTACTTACAGCAGAAGAATTCATAAAACAGACATTGTGGTGCACAAAAACTGCATTTGTAATTTGTCACATGATACACAGAGAAAATGAAAAACTATGCAACGGTTTGGTCAGGATATAGTGGTTCTCATGTTGTGCAGTATTTTTCTAATTGTGGCCAGTTATTAAGTTTGGGGGTTTTGTTTTGTTTTGTTTAAAGCTTTAGCAAACTTTTGTTGTGGTCAACTTGTTTCAGGCATTGCAAACCTAGGAATACAAAAACTGTGATCAAATCCTTGCTCTCGTGTGCATTATCTACAAATTAAGTATTATCTTCACCCTGGCTGGCATGGCTCAGTGGTTAGAGTGTTGGCCTGCCAACCGAAGGGTCTCTGTTTGATACCGTCAAAGGCACATACCTGGGTTGCAGGTTCCCTGCCCAGGTTGGGTTGTGTGCGAGAGGCAATCAGTTGATATGGCTCTCTCACATCAATGTTTCTCTCTCTCCTCTCTCTGTCCCCCACTCTTCCACTTTCTCTAAAAATCAATAAAAAAAATATCCTCGTGTGAGGATCAACAAAAGTAAATAAACAAATAAACAAATAAATAAGTGTCCTCCAGTGAGGATTAACCAAAAAAAAAAAAAAGTCTTTATTCTATAGGTGAGGAAAAGGGTGTATTTTAACATTATAAGAATTAGCCAAATATATTAATAATAATTTATTGATCTGTATTTTCTCTCCCTGGGTGATAACATCCTTTCTAAGACTTTGTCTCCATGACTTCCACATACCTAACTAGTATCTCAAACTTTGGCTTGGAGTCCATCAGATGTAAATTTGAGACCCATACCAGCTATGTAATTTTGGGCTCTTTAACTTCAATTAATTTTCAAAGTGGGATTGTTCTGGTCTTTGATGAGAGTGTTCCTTGCAGAGGGATACCCAGCTCCCAAAAATAGATATAAAGTACTGACAAATAAGTGCTTAATTAATGTTGGCCATTATCTCTTCTTTAGCCCTTCTTCCTACACACACACACACACACACACACACACACTCACCCCCATCACCATAAAAACAACCCAAACTCTGGTTTCTGTCCTTCTGTCTTGCATTACTTGTTTTAATGATACCTCAATTATATTTTTTCCCCTCCCACTGCTACTCTGCATTTCATCCCCTCACAACTCTCCCATTTAGACTGTTGAACTAGCTTAGGGAGATTTTAAAAATGTATATTTTGTTGCCAACCTCTTAGTATCAAGGTCACAGTCCCTGGCCTCTGACTTTGTTTTAAAAGCACCTTCTTTATCTCAGTGCTTGATTCTCTTCATTATCATGACTTTTCACCCTCTGCTTTAACTCTGAATGTTGGAGTGCACCAAGCCTGTCTCATTACTCCCTTCTCTTCTCTGGCTACCTTCTCCCTAGGTAATCTCTTCCCGTCCTGTGGTTTTGAGTACAATTTTATGCAAATAATCCCCAAATTAAGTGTTTGTATCCTTTTTAAAAAATCCAAATCTATAATTCTATCCCTCACTTTTTCTCTGGAACCTTAGATTTAGATATTCAACTGCCCACTTGACATCTTTGATTGCCAAGTTGGCATCAAACTTAACACACCCCAAATTTTAAAAATTTCCTACCCAAAGCTTCTCCTTCTACATTCTGCTCTATCTCAGTGAATAGATCACTGAGTTGCTTAAGCCAAAATCTGCAGCCTTTGGGGATATTTGTTTTTTAATTGTGGTAAAATATAGATAACATAAATGTTATCATCTTAACCATTTTGAAAGTGTACATTCTTTGACATGAAGTAAATTCATATTGTTGTGCAATCAATACTGCTATTTATTTCCAGAACTCTTTTCATATTGCAAAACTGATAGTCTATACATTAAACAATAATTCCTCATTTCCCCTCACCCAACCCCTGATAACCACTATTCTGCTTTCTGTCTCCATGATTTAGACTTCCCTAGAAACCTCTTTAAGTGGAATCATACAGTATTTGTCTTTCTGTGACTGTCTTTTTGACGTAGTATAATGTCCTCAGGGTGTAGCATGTGTCAGAATCTCCTTTCTTAATATTTCATGTATGTATATACCATATTTTACTAGTACTTATTCATTCATTCATTGCTTTCACTTGGGTTGCTTCTACCTTTTGGCTGTTGTGAATAATGCTGCTATGAATATAGTTGTACAAATATTTCTTCCAAACCCTGCTTTCAATTCCTTTGGGGATTTACCCAGAAGTAGAGTTGCTGGATCATATATGGTGATCCTATTTTGAAAAATTTTTTTATTTTTAAGGAATCACCATACTGTTCTTCAGTGTTTTATAATTGTCACTTAGGTAAAAGTGGTTGTTGGTGGTGTTCAGTTCTTTTATGTCTTTTCTCATTTAATTTTTTAATTCCCCAAAGAGGGTTGTTAAAATATCCAATCAGACCATATCTCTTCCTATTTAAAATTCTTCAATGATGCCCTAGCCAGTGGTCGGCAAACTGTGGCTTGCGAGCCACATGTGGCTCTTTGGCCCCTTGAGTGTGGCTCTTCAACAAAATACCACATGCGGGCGCACACGTACAGTGCGATTGAAACTTCGTGGCCCATGCGCAGAAGTCGGTATTTTGTGGAAGAGCCACACTCAAGGGGCCAAAGAGCCGCATGTGGCTTGCGAGCTACAGTTTGCCGACCACTGCCCTAGCCAGTTTTGCTCAGTGGATAGAGGGTCGGCCTGTGGCCCTGGTCAGAGCTTGTGCAAGAGGCAAGTAAATGGTGTGTTTCTCTCACATTGATGTTTCTCTCTGTCTTTCCCTCTCTCTTCCACTCTCCCTAAAAATCAATGGAAAAGTATCCTCTGGTAAGGATTAACAACAGCAACAAAAAATCTTGAGTGATTTTTTTATTCTACTTAAAATCCAGAATGCCTCCTGTGAAAACAAACTGTCTAACCCTATTCCTCTTCAGCTACAACCTGTAGCAGGTAGTAACTTATATCTAGCTAAAACATTGTTTTGTCTTTTTTATGTGTTTATTTTATTATTTTTTAAATATATTTTTATTGATTTCAGAGAAGAAGGGAGAGGGAGAGAGAGATAGGAACATTAATCATGTGAATCATTGATTGGCTGCCTCCTGCATGCCCCCAAAAAGGGATTGAGCTCGGGCATGTGCCCTTAACTGGAATCAAACCCGGGACCCTTCAGTCCACAGGTTGACACTGTCCACTGAGCCAAACCAGCTAGGGCTATGTGTTTATTTTTATAGTTATCTTCTACGTATGGCAAGGGATGTAAGATTTCTATTTACAGTTGTCTTATAAAGTTTCCCTTTTATGAAAAACTTTTTAAAGTAAAAAGAAAAGTAATAAAATTTTAACTTTTAACTAAACAAATAGCAGGTTGTAAACACATGGAATAAAAATTGTGGCAATATTGCCCTAACCTGTTTGGCTCAGTGGATAGAGCGTCAGCCTGTGGACTGAAGGGTCCCAGGTTCCATTCTGGTCAAGGGCATGTACCTTGGCTGCAGGCATATCCCCAGTAGGGGGTGTGCAGGAGGCAGCTCATCGATGTTTCTCTCTCATCGATGTTTCTAACTCTCTATCCCTCTCCCTTCCTCTCTGTAAAAAATCAATAAAATATACTTTTAAAAAAATGTGGCAATATTATAGCAATAACTGACACTTGGAAAACATTGATTTAGAGCAGTGGCGGTATTATTTTAGTTTGGTAATAGTCTGTGAATCAAAGAAATAGAAATTAGCAAAAGCCCCTGCTTCAACTAGTGCCTTCCAGAAGCCTTCTGCAAACCTTTAGCATTGCCAGGTTTAGCCTAGTTCCTTCACAGAGGCAACCCTGGATCTACCCAGCCTGCAGTATTGCTTTATTTTGAACATAGGACTTGGCTTTACATACCTTTATTTCTTGAAGTTTTTGAAGCTTCCTTGTAGAGATCTGAGGACTTGATTTAAAGAGGGAAAAGGGAAGTTCCTACTACATACTTTTGTTATCCTATACTAGAGGCCTGATGCACGAAATTCGTGCAAGAGTAGGCCTTCCTTCCCCCAGCTGCTGGCACCGGTTTCCCTCCGGCACCCAGGACCCAGGCTTCCCTCACAGCCCAGCTTTCGTCTGGAAGGTCATCCAGAAGGATGTCTGGCCTAATTAGCATATTATGCTTTTATTATTATCCTATATAATAATAGAGGAATATGCAAATTATCCAGAATGCTGTCACATCACAACCATTCAGCAGGGTGGGTGGGGCTGTG